ACACTTCCTATTATGAAATGAGGCCTATATTAATCCTTAGGCCGCCGTGAATGCATTTCGTGGTTCCATGCTTTCCCAGCCTCTCACCATATTCAAAACACTCCCGCCTCCCTCATGGCCCGAGTCGACCTATCCCCCTGCACATCCGCGCATGCGCAAAGGGAACTCTTGGTTCTACCCTATTGTCAAATACATTTTTGACTCATATCGGCACATTAAACACCTATTAGGCGCTATAGTTTCGGAAAATTAAAAATTTTCCACAATAACATTAAATGGATCACCCGTCACAAGACTCACAGAGGGAAAATTCCTAGGAATCCACCTAGACAGTAGCCTCAAATTCCAGACACATATACAACAATTTCCAAGAAAATCTCTAAGACAGTTGGCATATTATCAAAGATACGGTACTATGTTCCACAATCAGCTCTCCTTGCATTGTACCATTCACTCATATACCCTGATCTTACATATGTAATTTGTGCATGGGGATCAACAACATTAAATCACCTAAGGCCACTAATAACCCAGCAAAAGGCTGCAGTCAGAATGATAACAAAAACAAATTCCCACTCCTGACAGCATACCCCACCAATATTCAAAAGTCTAAAACTGATCACTGTAAAGAACATCCATAATTATTCATGTGCCTACTACATACATAGAACAATACACTCAAACATAAACCCTCCACTCAAACTTCTCCTCACTAAATAATGAAAATGATTGTTATAGGAATACAGTTAGAAGCCTGAGTAGATCTATAACCCACTATGATAACATGAACGTAGATAAGTATTTTTATGGAGCAACTTACAATATGAACAGACTGACTGATGTTGTAGTGGCCAGACTTAGGCTTGGTTACAAGTACTTCTGGCAGTTTGGGAGACACACAGATGATGATCAAACTAAATGTAAATTATGTGATCAGGCATATGGTCACTCTCTTGAACACTATGTGCTTAATTGTCCACTTATTGAGGAATACAGAGATAGACAGTATAATAACCTATGTGACATGTCAAGATATCTTATTAATGAAAATAAGATACCAGATATACTAAGCAAATTTCCTAAATTTGCTTGTAACAGATAAGTGAACTATAGATATAAATCCATATGTATTCATGTTAACCCTCTTGGGGACTAGTTCCTGGGCCTATTATGTATCCATATACTCTTGTGCTACCGTCCACAGGATGGATATGAGGTGCACAATAAACTAGCCACTTCGGTGGCAAAATCTAATCTCACCAACCTTAACAGGTCACACAACCATAACACATGACACAGATCTCTTTTTGATGTATCCCGTGTCCATATCACACTGTGTAAAAACTCTATGCACATAAAGGGCCCCAAAATTTGGAATTCATTACCAGATACCCAATGGAAATAAGTCACTCTGTCTGACTTTTTTGGGTTATCCTAGGTTCTCTACACATATGCTGCTATGTATGATAATTCTATGTAGCTGTATTTGTGTATACCTGAATAAACTTACTTACTTAAATACTGAAGTAACCCGGGTCTGAACATCAATTTAAGACTCTTCTCAAAAACCACTTACCCTAAACTAAATACTCAGTATTTAACTTTGCCAAAAAATCTCCCAATTACCTATATCTTAAAACTTCAAAACTAGATGCCTAAAGTTCATACATTAATTAATACTACATTGTAATAAAAATACCTACCCAAAACAATAATCCCTTACACCCAATTGTAACATTCTCATACTGTAACTATTTTCAACAACTCACAATGTTATATTCCCATAATATAATTTCAATACTTATTATTGTAACTGTTGTAATTGGAGTAAAATTAATGTCTACTATAAATAAAAACAGATTTACAACTTAAACTATGATCAATTTATTTAGTATTAAGTAGTCTGCCCATAATGCCTAGGCATGATAGTGGCTCTCTTTGCACTGCAACTTATTACAGTTTTTAATTTCATATTCTCAATGTAATCTTGTAAAGAAATAAAATTTGTTTGTGTTTGAAATAAACCACTGACTTTTTTTTGGGTGGGGGGAGGTGGCAGGGGTTATCCTAGGTAATTTACACATATAACATAATGTTACCATGTACGACAGTTGTAATCATCCACAAGTTGTCTAAATGTACTTAAGTAAACATATTTAGATGATGGATAGTTGTGTGTAGTGAAGTAACGGTCAGACAGAACACCATCACTCTGCTGCCAACACCGCCATCACATTCTTACATCTAATATCAGACTCTAAGATTGTACATCAGCCAGTAGCAGGATCATCTATGAAGAACACTTGCTGGGAGTGTGGAGGTGTACAAGAGAGGTTGGATTAGTGAATATTGATGTACAGTGTTAGGCACTCAATGGTTATTCCTTGATGTCTGTGATGATAAGTTCGTTTAGGTACAGTTGATGCTTGTGAAGGTAAGTTTATTTAGGTACAGTTTGAGATGATTACGATGATCTTACATAGGATTATGTCAAGATTGCTTAGGACAACTAAAAAGAGGCAAAGAAAGTTATTTATTTCTATTGGGAGTCTTGGGTGCCTTCCTTCCATGGCTCAAGCTTGCCTCCCATTACCTTAATCGCCGTATGAGCCCTACGGGTTTAGAGCTTCCCATAAATATAGTAATATGATGTATGAAGCAGTGACGTTTGTAATGGATGGCATTATCAGGGTCTGGTTTTATTTAATGAACTACTTCCTTTCATACACACATTAGGTAAAGTAAAAATCAGGTGAGTAAACAGTGACTAATAATAATAATGATACTAATCTTAATTTCCACAAGTACATATACAAGGTATACAGGCCTAGCTGACATTTGTTATGAGGACCATTTCTGGCCAATTAGGTCAGTTTTGTCCCAGGATGCGACCTACGCCAGTCAACTAACACCCAGGTACCCATTTTACTGATAGGTGAACATGGACAACAGACAATAGTAAGGAAACATCCTAATATTTCTAACCATACCAGGGATTGACTCCCAGACCTCAGTGTGTATGCTGAGTGTGCTAGCAATCGACCTACGAGACACCGCAGGTCCTATGATAATAATAATAATAATAATAATCTTTTGGTTATGCAGAGCATTTCTGGCAAATTAGGTTAATTTTGTCCCCAGGATGAGGCCTGGTCTCAGACTGGGCCGTGGGGGGCATTGACTCCCAAAACCCTCTTCAGGTAAACTCCAGGATGCAGCCCACACCAGTCAGCTAACACCCAGGTACATACTTACTGCTAGGTGAACAGGGACAACAGGTGTCTTAACCCTTAAATGGTCCAAACGTATATATACGTTTTTTCAACATCTGAAAGTATGTAAAAAAATGTAGATTTTTTTTTTGTTTAGATTTAGATTTTGCCACCGAAGTGGCTAGTTTCTTGTGCACCCCATATCCATCCTGTGGACGGTAGCGCGAGAGCATATGGATACACAAAAGGCCTAGGAACTAGGCCCCAAAGGGTTAACAGGAATACATTTGGATTTATATCTACATATCTATAGTTCACTTATCTGTTAAAAGCAAATTTAGGAAATTTGCTTAGTATATCTGGTATCTTATTTTCATTAATAAGATATCTTGACATGTCACATAGGTTATTATACTGTCTATCTCTGTATTCCTCAGTAAGTGGACAATTAAGAACATAGTGTTCGAGACAGTGACCATATGCCTGATCACATAATTTACATTTAGTTTGATCATCATCTGTGTCTCTCCCAAACTGCCAGAAGTACTTGTAACCAAGCCTAAGCCTGGCCACTACAACATCAGTCAGTCTGTTCACATTGCAAGTTGCTCCATAAACATACTTATCTACGTTCATGTTATCATAGTGGGTTATAGATCTACTCAGGCTTCTAACTGCATTCCTATAACAATCATTTTCATTATTTACTTCTCCTTTTGTTTTACATGTGAAAACGTGTAAAAAACTTTTATCTACATTTTTTTTTTTTGTTATATTTGAAAATATGTAAAAAAAAGTAGATCTACTTTTGTAGCACTACGAATTTGAACGTCAATCTGTTTGGACCGTTTAAGGGTTAAGGAAACTTGTCCAGTGTTTTCACCCGTACCGGTGATTGAACCACGGACCTCAGTGTGAGAGCTGAGTGCACTACGTTTTAATTTGATTATGCTCTGTCAAGTTCTACATAATTTACTATATGAAACTATTAGGAAAGTTTAAGACTAAGAGTAAGCAAGCAAGCTTATTTAAGTACAGGTATACGTAAGTACAGTTATCAGACATATTTTAAAACGTGTAAATTACCTAGGATAACCCAAAAAGCCATTTAACGCTTAATATTGTGGCCTGGCCAATCACAACAACACATACGAAGATGCAGTGAATGTAAACAGACTCATAACAGAGAAAGTGTAATTAATAAGTTTATTTAGGTACAGTTACACATATTTAGCCAATTACAGTTATCATACATAGCAACATGTAAATTACCTAGAATAAAAAAAAAATATCAGTTGAAGCAACTTATTTGCATTGAAGTTATTATTATTTTAGGTTGGTTTAGGTGGGCTTTGTTAGGTTTAGTTACATCTCTTTCTATTTGCACATCATAATTCTATCTCTAATGCAAAAACCCACGTGATATTGTACATTACTTCACTGGTTGTGCAGTACCAACACCTGCAACACAGATTATATATGGATGACAGTGGACAATAAGGTAATCAGTCCCTCCCCCTTGAAGGTATTCACTACCTTTATCTTGATGAATTTGAAGTAAAGGCAGGAATATGGATGCATAGTGGAATCAGATAAAGTGCATCAGTTGTTGGCATTGCCAAAAGTAGGTGTGGTCCTCTAGTGGAAGTAGGTTATGCCCAAGAACTAGGTAAGAGGTTAGCAAATACAGTAGGTTTAAGATTGAGATTAAGTTTAAGATTCTTTATTTCAGGATGATACAATGTTTATTGAGCGGTGAATGACATTTAGGTGTGCATGCAGAAAGCCTTTTAGTATGCAGAGCATTTTGGGCAAACTTAGTCTGACACTATCTTAAGATTAATAAGGCAATGACTAATTGAGTGCTTTTATAAACAGGGTCCTCTTCAAGGGGGGCTCCTTGGCGTGGTGAAGAGGCTCTTGGTCTGAGGAATTAGACCTGTCGGTCTCCTTCCTCAGACCAAACCTAATTACCCCCAATCCCCCCCCTTCCCTATCCCATCCTCCCCTTTTCCCTTTCCTCCTCCCCCTCCCTACCCCTCCCTTTTGCCCTTCCTCTTTTTGGCCTTTGGGATTTTTCCCACAGGCGCGCTCGTTCCCAGGTAGGGGAAAGGGTACCAGGGTCCATCCCATTCCATTGAGGTTCTTGGCGGTGGCGTAGTTTGCCGTGGAATTTGGATCGCCTGGGGATGTCCCGATCCCTCTCCGGTATCCTGGAGAGTGGCTTTGGGTGTCTTTCGGGCGACGGGTGTATCTCTGGAAGCCACCTTTCGGATTCCAGGGGTGGTGGCTGAAGGAGGTATGCTTTGTGGCGGATATCCGGCCGCCCTCTCTTTTGTCCACTGAGGTAGCTCGGCAGATGTGAGGTTGCTATCCCGGATTGCTAGTTTACTGGCATGATGGGTAGGGTATGGCACGGGTTCCATGCTGCATCTACGCTACTTGCGGTGCTGAGGTCCTCTTGGGCGAGGAGGGAGATTTCTGGCCCTTTCATTCCTCCTAGGAACTATCCCTCCCCAGTCCCCCCTTTTTTTATTCTTTGTTTTTATTTTTATTTTATTGTCTTCTTTTTTTTCTTCTTAAAAACAAAAAGAAAGAAGTAACCTAACCATGGCAGCCCTAGTCCATGAACTTGATTCCCCGGGCCCCTTCTTGATACCGCACCCCGTTCTGACCCCACCTCGTCTTTGGACCACTCTTCGGACACTCCTCATGCCTCTGTACCTCTTGCCGGTGCTGTTTCCTCACCCGCTTCAGGTACTGAGGTCTCGACTGACTCCTTTGATTTATCTGACCTCCGCTCTCCTTTGACTATGCTTCCGGCCTCTCCCTCTACGGTGCGGCAATTTTCGAATCGCCAGCCCGTTCCGCGTCGGACCAATTCTGGTCCCACGCCTAAACGCCAACGACAGTTACCTGCTGATGATACTTCTCCACCTTCTCGTTCTTCTCAGAAAAGATCAACACGTCCTGCACTCCCTTTCCACGCTCAGTTTCAGACTGCACAATGGACTAAATTCTTCACTTTACGACCGACTTCCTCTACCGCCTATCTTTCCGACCACAGTATTGGCAAAGCACTCCTATGCCATGTTGGTAAAGATATTTCTTTTCATGCTCTTAAGAGCGGTACACGCATCATCACTGTACAGAATGCTACCCAAGCTCATGATCTTTCTCTTCTTTCCCATATAGATACTGTTCCTGTCACTATTGAAAAACATCATTCCCTCAATTCTTGTAGTGGTACCGTCATTCTGCCCCATACCATAGTTCAACAAAATTTCCAGACATGTAGCAATGACATTCTTGAACAGCTGGAACTCCAAGATCTCCCAATCCTCAAGGTAGACACTTATGTTCTTCCTGCCCGCGGGCAGAGACGATACCCTAGCAATGTGGCTTGTTTAACTTTTGACAGCCGTGAACTCCCATCCTCAGTTTATGTGGCAGGACATCGGTTACAAGTTCGAAAGGTGATCCCTACACTGCAGCAGTGTAGAAATTGCTGGCGATTTGGCCATCCAGCTAAATATTGCAGATCCATAGCCGAATGCCCAGTCTGTGGTGCCGATGACCATTCTAATACGTCTTGCAATCGACCTCCCTCTTGCCTTAATTGTCATGAGGCTCACCCTTCGTACTCTCGCCGTTGCCAAGTCTACTTAAATGAGTGGGAAATCCGTTACCTCAAAGAGGCAGAAGGTCTCCCTTATGCCATGGCAGTTTCTCATCTCCGCCTCCGAGGGAGACTACCTCGTGTTTCTTATTCCCGTGTTTCAAAACATCCCCCCACTTCTGGGGTCCCATCTTCTGCAGCCTCCTCTGTGGTTACCTCTCCCTTAGTCACTCCTGTATCTAATTCTTTTGCTGTCCTAGGCTCAGACGTCCCTACTTCAACGCCTCAGTCTGTTCACGCTTCTTCGTGTTCTCCCTCACAAGCCTCAGTATCGACGAGACCTCGTACGACACCTCCTCCCACTCGTCCCTCTACTTCTCAGAAGTCAAAAAAAGGTCCTTTAACCCCTCCTTCCCTACTTCCACCTCCTCATTTTACCTTCCCTGTCTCTGTACTGGGTTCTTCCCCTCTCACTGGCTCTGTTACTAGTGTAGAGGTTCACCCTCCTCCTCATACTATACCTACCTCCCTGTTCTGTCCCAGGTTTCTTCCTCTTTTGCCACCTCCCAGTTTCTGCCTCTTCTGTCCCCTTCCACGCTTCTT